TCTTACGACTCATATTTCTTAATTTGACTAAAATTGATAATTACCAAACTTCCATGAATGCGTTCGTTGTAATTCTTTATTTCTCAAATAAAGAGTTGTTCAAGCGTTATCAATATTACAGGTATCGCATTTTTTCTTCGTTAAATTCTAAGTGTAGCGTCATCTGTGCAGCAAGTAGTGAAATTGGATATCATCCAATATCCGCATCCGCGCAGAGCCTACAAACAAGCCTGGTCACTGTGGGACCAGAAAACGGAATGCGTGGGAGGCCGCGAAGCCAACATGGCTATCCAGCCAGGAACGAAAAAAAATATACTAATCACGAACAATTTTTTTTTCAAATTGCTCTGTATCGTTCGTATTCGAGCATACCCGACCGTCCACCATATTGAACGCTCGCCTTCGTTCGAAGCTACGAATCCGCCATTCAAAGTGACAAGCATCGAAGCCGTGCGGATTTACTTACGTACGTTCATTATTAGATAGAATTGAACGGAACGTAGCAGTGATTTTTTTTGGTTAAATCAAATTTTTATGTATACTCAGCCTCCGAGTGATCGATAGGACAATTGATCGTTTAAAATTCTCGTGAAACATGATCGCATGGCGCTGTGAGCACCGTTGTTTGATTCATTTGCTTACGCACGACACGATCAGCAGGTTCAGGGTTCAGTAACGGACGGACGGTAGCGTTAATAGTCGTGGTAGTGCCTTCGTCGTTATCGCCGTCAGTAAATGTATTGACTTGTGGTTCGACTCGCGTTATACAGTATGAATAATGTTTTTGTGTCACTGTTTCTATTCGTCGCGTTAATTGTTTGTGGACGATGCACGCAAAGATCTGTAAGCAACATTCTATTTTCTAATATCGATTATTAACGAGCACATATATCGTTGTTTATCGTACCAATTCAACTGGTCAACTTTACAAACAAAGAATCGAGGACGCGCGCTAATGTGATTCATCGTTCGATTGTTCTATCTCGCGGGCACAGTCGATTTAGAAATTATTGACGTATCTCGGCACTGCTCGTCGTATGATAATTCGATGGTAATTGGGAGCAGTGCGTTACTTAATGAGGAACACGAGTTCCCATAACCCATTTAGTAATTAACGTGAGAACTTTCATAATAGAACGATTACCGATTATTCAATATGTACGGAAATTTCATTTATTTATCAAGATTTTAATTATTATCAATTAATTAAATTATTTAATC